ACGGCTTCCAGCACCAAGTTGAACCAAACTGATTATGGTGTGTATCCTTGCCTCACTCCTACGGTTGTCCTGATCCACTCTGCTTCATGTCTACTCTTACTGCACTCATCAACTTGCTGTAGAAGTTTCTTTGAGATGCCATATATTGTCATAAGTTGCCATAACTGTTTCTGCCAAGTGCTGTCAAAAGCCTGTTTTGAAGTCTATACAGTTGTTGTAACAGGTTTGGTTGTGTTCTAAGTACCTCTCCTATATCTATCTTATCATAAATAACAGATCTACTGTATATTGTTCAGATCTAAATCTGGCCTGGTCCTTTTCAAGTGCCATTTCCACACACCTCTTTGATCTCTGCAATGTCTTGGTGAATGCTTTTCCCAGCACAGTCAATAAGCTGAGCCCTCTGTAGTTCTTGCATTCACTCTTATCTCCTTTTGTATAGATTGGTATTACTATTGCTTTCCCCCATTCGCTCAGCCCTTGTTTAAGTTTGTAAAACTTGTTGAATAGCTTGTGCATTGCCTTTACCATGTGTTGCTTGCTTGCTTGCAGCAGCTTTTGGTTATGTTGTCGCTTCCCTGGCTCCTTTTTCTTTTTGAAACTTTCCATTAGGATATTTACTTCTTCTTCTAAGAATTCCAGTATTTTCTCTCCCTCATTTGTGCTGGGAAGCTTGTTCAGGACCATTTCATCTTCTGTGTTCTGCACATTGTATGGCTCTTCAGAATATTTTTCCATCACTTATTCTTTGCTTGTTAATCCTCAGTTATGTATCCACACTTGTGTTTCACCACTGACATCTGCAAGTCATATGTCTTACACAGTTCTCTTATCTTGCAATACAACCCTTGTGTTGCATTTCTCTTCGTATATTCTTCTGCTTCTTTACAATGTTCACTTATCCAGTTGTTCCTGTCGGTCTTTGCTTTCTGTTTTATCTCTAGTCAGCCTATTGTACTAGCTCTTAAACTCTCCATCCTCCTCTTTATTCTCCTTCAGCTTCCTACACTTGTCACTCATTTGCAGTATTTAATCCATTTTCTACCTTTCTTTCTTTGTTTTGGCCTTATAGCCCAACATTTGTTCAGCCACTCTTGTAATCCCATTTTTTACACTGTTCCATGTCTCTTCAATGTTCATTTATTATTTTACCAGATGTATGATGATTTTCTGCATGGCTTCTCTGTATCCTTTCCTCATACCTGTCTCTTTCAATTTGTCCACATCATAGATCTTAGTTCTTGGCACTTTTTTTTTCATCCCAATTGATGCCAGCACTAACTTATGATCAAATGCAAATGATCTGTACAACAACAACAATTGATTTCCACCTGTGATTCACAAATACAAAGTCTATCATGTTCTTTAATTACCCATCAGGTGATTGTCACGCTGTCTGGAGTGGTTCACGACCATGAGTGCCAACCTCAGGGCAAAGTGTCAAGAAACAGGGCAAGGGTCCCAAATTTGGGGAAATCGATAATTAGATTTCACCAACCCAGTAACAAATGTGAACTCCTAAAGCACTATAACAGCCTTACAGAGTCACAGACAGTCTCCTTGGGCCTTCCAGTCCATCTTGCCACCCAGGCAAGCTGGACTTAGTGATAGTACACCAAAGATCACAAAATATTCAGGTTTCTCCCAGTCCCAGGTCACTTTGTACTTTAGATATCTCTCAAAGACAACACTTGTAGCCCATCCTGTAATAAACTAACTAAAGATTTATTAACTAAAAAATAAATGAGAGAGTTATTACAAGATTAAGAACAAAAGAACAGGCATACTGGGTCAGATCAAAGGTCCATCTAGCCCAGTATCCTGTCTTCTGACAGTGGCCAATGCCAGCTGCCCCAGAGGGAATGAACAGAACAGGTAATCATCAAGTGATCCATCCCCTGTCGCCCATTCCCAGCTTCTGGCAAACAGAGGCTAGGGACACCATCCCTGCCCATCCTGGCTAATAGCCATTGATGGACCTATCCTCCATGAATTTATCTAGTTCCTTTTTGAACCCTGTTATAGTCTTGGCCTTCACAACATCCTCAGGCAAAGAGTTCCACAGGTTGACTGTGTGTTGTGTGAAGAAATACTTCCTTTTGTTTATTTTAAACCTGCTGCCTATTAATTTCACTTGGTGACCCCTAGTTCTTGTGTTATGAGAAGGAGTAAATAACATTTCCAAGTAAACTTATATACACAAATGAGTTACAGTCTATGGTTCCAAAAGGTGACAGAGTTGTAGTAATCTGTCCACTCTGAAGATGTTTTAGGTTGACCATGGAGATCTGTGTTTCTGTTTCATAGTTCTCGCCCTGTCATAGTCCAAACAGCAAAAAAGAGAGGAAAAATTTTCTTGTCAGCTATTCTTATTTCCTTCTTCCAGAATTCATGCTGATGGGATGAGCCCTTTTGCATGTAGCGGCTTCATGGGTGTAAAGGGGGCAATTAACAAAGTCTTTGTATTGTGATGTCCCACAATCGCCCATTTAGTTTTGATAGCCGCCTTGATGAGCAGATTCAGTTTCAGAACAAACTTTTTTGTTTGTTTCATAAAGCAAAAACCTAATTATTATCTTATACCGTGTGATAAATAGAGAATTTTTTCACTTGACCAGAGCTCGGAGAGCCTACTATAAGTGAGATTAATGCATACAGCAATTAACAGGCGTTTCATAAATTCTAAACACATTGTTACAAGTTTAATACCCATTTTAAACATACTAAAGCACAGGTGAAACAGACTAGTTTCCAGCAATTAATTTGTCAGTGCGCGGCTGAGGCCTAAAGCCTTGGCAAGAGCTGACACCTGGTTTGCCAGTGTCACAGTGATAATCCATGTCCACATCCTCTGCAGTTTTCTTTGTTGAAATAGCATGTTTGTTATCACCAGGTTGTTGCTTACGTAGAGATTTAGGGCTTGTCTACACCTGTTGCAGTAAATACACTTGTCCAATTTAACTGTTATTCTGAAGATTAATTAAGACCGTATTCTATCTATTTGATAGAACATTCCATTAAAAGCAATTGCTGAAAGCAGCACAATAACACAAATTAAGTGGAGACCATCCAGACTCCTTGGAGATTTACAGTATAATCCATTTGGGTTAGAAAGAATGGCTTTTGTAAATAGGGAGAGTAAGAAAAGTAACTTTGGGGAAAGGCTTGAGAGGAACAAGTAGTTTTCTATTTAAATCCTGCAGAGCCGTGTTTGGGACTCTGATAATGTTGATATATATGGAAAAATGATTTTTCCAAATTATTAATATTTTAAATGCACAAGTCAAAGATAGGGTCCCCCTTGCCTCCTTACACATGTGTGCGTTGCATTATATAGTGTTAATTGTGTAATGTCCGCAAAAAGAACAGGAGTACTTGTGGCCAGGGCCGGCTCCAGGCACCAGCTGAGCAAGCTGGTGCTTGGGGCGGCAGCTTGTAGGAGGCGGCATTCCGCCCAATCCCAGGGCGGCACGGCCGCTTTTTTTGTTTGTTTTGTTTTGTTTGTTGTTGTTCCGCTCCAGCCGCCCTGTAGGGGGCGGCGGCGCAGAAGACGGGAGCGCCCTGCAGCAAGCCCGGCAGGGCAGCCCGCGTCCTTCCCTCCCAGCCCTCCGGAGCGGTGCGGAGCCCTCCCAGCAGGGGGCATGGCGGGAGAGGCCGCGTGGCAGCGCCCCGCTGAAGCCCTGGCCGCCCCCCTTCTCTCTCTCCCCCCGCTCCCTTCCCCTGCCCCCGCTAGCCGGGGTACATCTGCAGGGCAGGGAGTCCCCCTGCACCTTAGCTCCGGCCACGCCGCAGGTTTTTTTTGCCTTTGCTGTTCTGGCCGCTGCGGGTTTTTTTTTTTTTGCTTGGGGTGGCCAGAAAGCCAGAGCCGGCCCTGCTTGTGGCACCTTAGAGACTAACAAATTTATTTGAGCATAAGCTTTCATGGGCTACAGCCCACTTCTTCGGATGCATAGAATGGAACACACAGAAAGAAGATATTTATACGGCCAAGGCGGATGTACGGTGCAGGGTTGGGTTTACACTGAGCTGTTTCGCAGCTGCAGTCAAAAGAGCAAACTGTTGCATATTGTCCCCTTACAGGGCAATGGACCTTTAATATCTGGGCTGGCCAGGGAAGAGCACACATTTCTGGGGACAGCCGGGATGGGGAGTGTGCTGGGGTCACCCTGCAG